TCAAGGCCATCGTGGACTGGCCGGTTCCCAAGAACCAAAAGACTTACGCAAGTGGCTAGGCTTAGCCAATTACTCCTTAAGAAGGACGTACCATGGTGCTGGAACGTCGAACACGACGGAGCCTTTGAGGCTGTGAACGAGAGCCTCCTCCAGGCTCTGATCCTTGCGCTACCGGATCCGGATCGTCCGTTTAGCGTCGTATGTGATGCCTCCGATTTTGTAATCGGTTGTGCTTTACTACAAGCGGACGCCGAAGGGCGTGAACAAGTGATTGCGTTTGAGCAAATGTGCAGATACGACCAATCCAGTTCATGACAAATAGCTATTTGCAACGAAGTATGCCCTAGTCAGTTCAGGGTACACCTGCTAGGCTCTAAGCCTTTTGTGATCTTTACTGATCATGCGTCGCTACGCACTGCGACACAGTCGCCCCATCTCTCTCAGAGAATGGCAAGATGGTTTTCCTAATTTGCAAAATACAACTTCGAGGTGAAGTACAAACCGGGACGGCTTAATTAAGTGGCCAATGCGCTCTCGTGTAGGCCGGAATACGAGTTAGCTCATGGCACGACAGTGACGTCGTCAGTGCCTGACTTGATACGCGGAGCGTATGCACAGGAAGCCATGTACGTAGCGCTGCTACGGGCTCTTGGGAGCGAAGCGTTTAAATACTCTGATAATGAATTGTCTGGGCGCTTACGCGCGAGGCTGCATCGATACTCGCTCGATGGCGGCCTGCTGTACTACAGTACTGACTCTAAGGATAACCCTCGTGTAGGCGTTCCTCATGATGATGATCTAAAGTATCGAATCCTCTATGAGGTTCACGATACACCCATGGGCGGGCATAAGGTCGGGGGAAAACCTATGGCTTGGCGAGCTCGATATACTGGTGGTCCAAGATGTGGTGTAGCGGGATCAGCAAAATCTGCGAGTTTGCCAGATCCAACTTACCAACTGCGCCCAGACACCGACTAACGGAGGGGGTCCCCCGATGATCCGTGTTCTGCTGAACTTTCCTCACCTTGTGTACCCGTCGGTAGGGCGGGATCTTGCTCTCTCGGTAACTTCCGAAGAGTTCAAGTGGTGAAGCTTGAGTGTCTTGGCGAGACGTGGGGATGGGGTGGAGCAGCAGTGGAAAATCTTCACTCTACGTCCGTGGATTGTTCCGAATCCTAAGCGAATATTTGAGCTTATGGATCCGGGGCCTAGATCGTGGATCTGGCCGTAGGGTTGCCTTGCGGGTGTGTTCCCTTGCCTTTGTAGTTTCCTTTGCGTCGTACTTGCCGCCTCCTGTGACGGGATCTTGAGAGTTGAGAACCTCTAGGGTGTAACCGACCAAGTAGTAAATTCGGTTAACCTGTCGGATCTGCACAAGTAAAGGAAAAGCTCACTAGGTTGTAGGATCTGGCCAGTGTATTATCCAGTTATCACTACCAACACTAGATTCGCAATTCCCAACCTTCTCCTAGCTCGTACGGCCAATGTAGTTCCGGTTCTTGAGGGCAGGAAGGCACTTGCGTGTTACTGTGCAAATTGAGGTCTGTATTGATATTTAAGCCTATACCTGCCTGGATTTCTACCTTCTATGTCTTTCATCTGCTAAATCCCTTACCAGGCTCGGCTGCATGTCCCTTCTTCCCTTGACCCATCATCCCAGCTGTGTTATCTTCAGATCCACCGGATCCATGACGTAATCATCATGGTCACCCTATTATGGGTACACTCATCCGGATCCAGGTCGCTTGGATCCACCTCACTGTAATTGTACACTCGCCGTGGATCCGAGCTCTCCAATCATCCAACATCATCTTGCAACCGTCTGTGATCTCCATTGTCCCACGAAAGTTCGAGATCCACTGCATCCATCATCCCTATACCCTGGATCCAGGTCCCTCAAGGCGGGATCCTCCCTCCATGGATCCGAACTCGGAAGTATGGGATCCGGGGTACCTCGCGGTGGATCCTGACTTCTCGTTAGCCGTGGCTACTAGATCCACCTTCGGATGGCACCTATCACCATTCCTTCATAGGATCCACACTCGATCCACTGGTAGATAGTATATCCCATATCCACCTAAGTGAATCCAGGTAAGGGTGGATCCGAGATAAGTCTTGGTGGATATTGTCTTCCCGTACATCGCTCATACCAGATCCATCGTCATTCCATACGGGGTGCCGCTCGTCATGGCTAATCCACCACCGGCAACTTGCATCCGTGCCACCAACCCAAATCCTCTCCAATCACTTGAAATTGTCACTGATTCGGGATAGTGACCCCGCGTCAGGCCCATTCTCTTATTTCTGAGAAAGCACTTCACCACAATCGCCTCCTGTACGTTGTCGGCGCTGCACAACAGCGTTCACGGCGTGCATTACCAGCATCCACAACCGCTTTCTCCCCTTCGCGACACATGTCTCCCGCCAAGCGTACCGGCAAATCGTCGGGCAAGGCCCCATCCACCACCCCTCCGGTCAGTCCGTCTTCTATGTCGCCCACCGATCTGCGGGTTCTAGCCCAGGCTCTTTCCGATCAGGTGCAAACCCTGACGGCGGAGCTCCAGACGGCTCAAGATGCCCAAGACCAAGCTGCGTCTCTGCACACTACCCAGCTTCAGACCTTGCGAGCCCAAATCCATGACCAGGCTATGGAGATCCAGGGGTGGGAGCACCGTGCGGCCTCTCGGTCGCAGGACCTGCGACTCTTGTTGGCTGGTCAGGCGGTCGAGATCCGCGACCTGACCGGACGGCTGGATCGCGCCTCCCGTCAGCGAAATGTCATGCGGGATGACAACGACCATCTCCTTAGGGAGATGGCGCTCGCTGGATTTGAGATCCACCAGCTCCAATCCCGGATCCACGACCTCGAGCGGGATCTGAAGGATTCCCAGACTGCTAGGGCAGCTGCGAATGCGAGCTTGGACCGGCTCCGTGACGAGTTGCGTCTGACCCAGGAGGAGGTGGTGACCAACGACTATGTGGGATCCACCCATGGCGGATCCGCCTTAGGGTCGGCGCGTGGAGGGCCCCCCGCGCCAAATCCACCTCCCTCATCGCCAGATGTAGCCCTGGCTCATCTCTCTGAGGAGTTGCAAGATACCAAGGAGTCGCTCGAGAAAGCGTCTGCCGGACGAGATTACGCGCTCGAAGAATTCGTGCGTATAACTCAATTGCGCGACGAGATCCAAGCGAAGCTGGCGGACAGCGAACTCCAGCGGGACAAGGCGGCTACCGAGTGGGCGGTTGCCAAGCGTGCACAAACAGAGCTGGAATCCAAGCTTCGCCGCACGAGTACGTGGATCCTCTTTTAGTCCTTGCTAGTAACCCCATATTCACTCGTTATTGTCCATCCAGGTGACAAATTGAAAATAGCCGATGCAACCGCCACGAAACTCCGGGATCAACTCGCTGCAGCCCAAACTCAGCAGCAACAGCTGGTCCTGGAGCGCGATCGTGGCTTATCGGAGCGGGATTTGGCTCGTCGACGACTGGTGCTGGTGACAGCTGCCGTGTCGGATCCCCTTCCTCCCTTGTCGGGATCTTCTCGTGCTGCCAGCGTCTCTGCTCCTCTCCCGTCTGTAAGTGGGGCAGATCCATCAGTTGCGAAACGTCCGCGTAGTGCGTCTCCCGCTCCTAGCACCGGATCCCCCCGTCCCCATAAGCATGCTCGAGCTTCCCCGAAAGCCAAACCCAAAACGACTCCGGTCTCTAAAACGGCTTCGCAAGCGGGATCCACCTCTGCGTCCAAGGCGGGATCCACATCCGCGTCCAAGACTTCCGCTTCCCCCTCGAAGTCGGGTGCAGGATCCAAGTCTGGATCCACCGCTAGATCCAAATCTACCTCGGTGTCCAAGACTGGATCTGCAACTACGTCCACTTGGGTTGCTCAAGTGGTTGACTTCCGTCGACAAGTCTCATGTCTTCGGACAGCTCGAAGACGTTCCGCACTGGCAGCTAAAATAACACTCGCGTGTGCGTGAGTGGATCCGCCTGGTGGGAATCGCCCTGGCGACCTGACTGGAAGCCGCACGCATTGACCACTGCGCCACGAAGTCGGCTTCGTGAGGTTCTTCGTGTCCTTGATACAAGTGCCTCAAGCTTGTAGTTTTCTAAGTCACATATGCGCTGGTCCCTTCGTCGATGTGTGTCTTGGGAGCCGGAAGGCGCAGTGCCGGTCCTCGCAGTACATCCGAAGCTCGTGGCGCACCTGTCGATCCTGGGCTTGCCCTTGTTACCACCGCAACGTCGCGCTGGTGCCGCCGCCCTTTGCGCTGTCTCCGCTTCGTCAGGTTTCGAGCTTTCTTCAAATGCGTTCCGTGCGCTTATGTACTTCGAGAGAAGGGAGATGAAATGGGCCCAACTCCAATTACATAAGTAGGTAGATATTTCTTGAGCTATTACATAGGTAGGCAAAGTCGCACACGGGTAGCGTGTGCTAAGGTGTCATCATCTGATTGGTTGATAATGAAGAGCCAGACTCACTTATTGGCCAATCAGGTGTAGACCTGTATTTGAGTGGCTCACATGAGGCCAGGGGTAGCCGCCCTGGTCCCAAATAAATCAGAGTTGAATTTTACACAAACCCTAAGACTTAGTTTTATTATTGCGAGCTTCCTCCACACTATAGTGTAAGCTAGTGACGGTAAATCTTACCCCGCTAGATTTGATATATGGGGAGTCAGACCCACTATTAGCCAATTAGACGATGATATGTATTTGAATTGACGCCAGCTTTCATTTTTAGACCAATCCGCGGCCTATAGTATAATATTGACAAATGTCGAGTCTGCCTCGCAAAAGAGGACAGGTAAATGGTACCGGTATTCTTGTGTGCACCTCCAATTTGGAGGTTTGGCACCTTGGTATTTATGTTTCGGCCAATCGCTGGTTGGAGCGTGGTTTCGCCAGGGATTCGGCGGAAATGCCACATGAGTTTCGGCCAAATCGTTCTGAGACTCACATTTAGTTCTGACTCCGATCAGAGAGAGAGAGCGATAAGTATGTCGTTGCCATGGCTGGTGGTGGCCGTCCAGAGTCGGGAGGCCAGACACATTACACACCTCAAAGAACTCGGGGAGGCAGGAGGGGGCTACTCGGTTCGGGAGTACAGCGTCTGTAGAGCTGCACGCAACAACAACGTAACCACCACCTCGCCGAAGGTGATCATTGGCAGAGCACGCAACTACATCAATCATCTAGCCAAATGCGAGTATTGCCAGGCAGCTCAGTGGAGACCAGCATCTACAAGCTCATCACCAGCACCGGAATGCCGCCAAGAGCACAAAACTCGAGTCCTATGTCATCGTTAAAAGCAACAGCTGCGCCTTTTCGACAACCCTCGTGATCAGAAATAGGTACGCTGCGAACACCTGAGCGAAGCAGTTCAAGGATCGCAGCTCAATCACGTGCGCGCCGCACTCTGGTTCTTGAAAAGCGCCTGGGGCTGAGCCCAAACCGCCGACATTCAAGTCACTAGCGACGCAAGCCAACATCGACTAAAAGGTTGAAGAGGCAGCGGCGGAAGTTCACCAAGGAAAAGGTCAAGAAGCTTGAACGTTCATTCATTGATCTACACGCTGATAACCATCTCCCCAACCGTTTTATCGAGCAATCGGCAACGCTGCGATTCTTGGAGCTGCTATGTCCACGAATAACGGATTATCTCCCTTCTCGTCGATAAGTAGCCGCATTTTAAAAGAGCACGCTAACCGCTGAAAATCGGTGGACACAGATGAGCTCAGGGCAATGGAGGAAATAACACAAGGCTGGGTTAGTCTACTCTCCGATGTCTGGCAGAATATTTCAAAGGGTCATTTGTTAGGCTGCCAGCTCGCGCTATTTGGGGTACTTCTTACTTACGCTCTTTCTCCCGCTGGTGACAGACATAACGGGATTGCTACTGCGGAGCAATTGGAGCAAGTGTCACTTCAGGCACAGCAAGAGAAGTGGAAGGTTGGAGTGATTATTACCGACAGTGCGGGGCAGTGCGGTCGTGCACGTCGTATATTGTTATCACGGAGACCTCAAATTGTTTTTCTCTTCTGCTTCACACATGCCGTTAATAATCTCGTCAGAGTGGTTCTGCGATCTTCGTTTCGTGGTGGTGCTGTCAAAGCTGCAACTGCTGTCAATACCTTGAACGCCTCCTCGTCAAAATGGTTGCCACGCGCGAGAAAGATGATGAAGAAATTAGACGAAAACCGCTGGGGCTGTGAACATTGTATGAAACAAGATGAAATTCAATGCAAGGGCGTTTCGCGTCGCTACTACGTGTACAGTCAGCGCTTCAAATGTTTCATCGTCAATACAAGAGAGCAAGTGATTTTCTGTGCAGCTTCATGTTTTTGGAGATCCGTCGTTCCGGGATGAGCTCAGAGAAGCTGAGGCGTTTATTGCACCGTTATCGCTCGCTTTGCATCGCCTTAAAAAAGACGAAAACACCGTTCAAGACGTAGTTCGCTCATTTGGCGATATCTACAAGGGATTTCAGCCGCACCTTGTTCATCAAGAAAAACTGATAGAAAGCGTCGAAGACCGCTGGGAACAGTGCGAGCAACCCTTATTTATGCTTGGGCTTGCTTTGCATCCTGTATACATGAGTGTTCGAGAGAGCTGCCAGAGACTGCGGTATCTGGAGTGGGCACTCTTGTCAAAATTGCGGTTTATTACTACAGACTGCTCTTTGGCCAGCTCTGACGTGGCATGCTGGCATGGATGCAGAGAAGATTCACAAGGATGAATCCAAGTGGGTTCCTTGATTCACCCTAAGCGTTCTGGGAAGGCGCAGCATTGGAAAGGCCCAAGAGCCTGTTGCCGAAGCTCGCAATGCGAGTGCTCTCAATCGCAGTCAAAAATGCCACATGCGAGTGCTTGTTCAGTGAGCTTGGGCTTATTCACACTGCAATACGTAATTGAATGGCGGCAAGTAAGGCTCTCGACGTTCATATAGTAGCCAAACATGTCCGTCAACGCTCACAAAAAGATCCTGCAGCACTTAAGAATCCAAAGAAGAAGCTAGAGATATCTCTAGAAGAGAGGCAAATAATTTTAGATGCAGCAAATTACCCGAGCTTGTTTACCCCGTCACCGCAGCTGCATGACGCGGTGAATGAAGACGAAGATAGCGATAGCGAAGACCCGCGGAATAGTGCTGATGGTAATCCATCTATGAATCTGTGGGGCGAATTCCGCGATGGAGGTTTTGAAGACGAAGAAATTGGTGCCTTTTTCAAGGAAACAGATCATACAAGCGTAAACACAAGCGCCAGGGTTTCAAAGGACATGAGAGAACCTAACGAGGTCGATTCGGACAAATTTAAAGAAATTGCGGGAGCAGTGGAGCAACCATTCTCTAGTCATAACGATCGAGCCTTTCCTCAAGAAGCCATCAAACTGCGGGGATTTCGTAAGCACTAGCAAAGGTGTTTGGATGAAACGATGATAAAGCAACCGAGTAGCTTAACTGCATCTATTACATGTTTATATGATCATTCAACCGACAACAATAGTGTCATCAACGAATCTTGCTTCAATGTAGACCACGCACCTCACCAGCATTGTCTCGTGTGTTGACGTTCCAACTCGTCCTCTCCTTGTCTTTCGTGAAGCCCATCGGGACATCTATGCATATCACAAAGCCGTCCAAGCTATTAGCGTTCTCAGTCAATGCATCACTTGATCAATCTCTCTCTTCACCTTTAGGCTCTCCAACACATCCGTCGTACCCTCCATCATGTCCTTTAGGCTCGGTATCTTGGTCAACATCAGCACTGGGACGGCGCCATGCTCGCCACGAACTTAAACAGCAGTGTGACAGCGAATACGCGCATAAGCTTAAGCAACAGCGAAACGGTGACGGCAACTACACAATCTTTTCAGACAACGGCAGCATTGTGACGGCGGCCACGTTCGCCACGAGCTTGATCTGCATCATAACGGCGACTATGCACGTTGTCTTGCTATATGTAGGCGCTGGCTGCGGCTTGATTCTGGACCTGCACACGTCGCGACTTTCTTCAGAATATAAGAGGGTTCATTCTTTTTTAAACGAAAGCAAATGCCGTGGCAATGAACAGAGTTTAAATAAAACGTATTGTTTTAGCTCTGGTCGTTATTGGCAATTAACAGCTTTTTAGATATAACGTATTGTTTTAGCTCTGACCGTTATTGGCAATAAAAACCATCCGCCAAGTCTGTCGCCTTTTCGGTCGTCCTGGGCTTTTTATCGTTGGCCGAAACATAGGGACTTTACCAACCCTGCTCCAAATACTTCTCTACCAGGGTTCGCCAAAACCCAGCTTTTCGTATTTGAACGGGTGGGTGGTGATGCTTTTTGTGGGTGGGTGGGATAAAATTACAGTTTTTTATACGATGACGTCATCAGACCTTTGCAGAAGTTAATTAGCTTTACGTAACCCACTTTATCCCCAAAGAATAAAACTCCAGTATTTATAACATCACACGCATTTAACATGTGTCTTGGGTTTCTATTCCGATGTAGACCACGTTATAAATCTACTCTCCCGCGTTCGACCCATCGTATCCACTGCGGTATATGATAGTCTGCTGTCCAGAGCAAAATTGAGGAGTTCATTTCCAATTCTGTTTCGTCATCAACCAGTTTCTCGCTCTTCCATCTAACGGGTCGACCATGTCGTCACGTTCTGCTGCCTCATCACAACGCATTTCACCCCGCGTTTCTCGCACTTCAGCATCGCCAGCGTCACGCGCACCACCGCGAACGCAACGTCGAACTGCATCCCGTAACAGGACGGCACAGACGAAAACAGCTCAAGTCGAGCATCTAGACGCCGTGCTCAGCATGCTAGAAGACCGTGAACACAAACTACGCGAAGAGCGCAATCAGTATCAGGACGACAACGACGACAACGACGCCGATGTAGCGTCGTCATGTCCTGTGGTGTAGTGATTTCTCCGTAGTTGCGGATTATCACCCGTCGACAAAGACGTGACACCGCCCAAGATGTTCAAGCGACGAACCCTCGGTCAGGTGATGTACGGAGACGCCAAGGTGCCAGGGACTCGACGGCGTCACTTCCGAACGTTCAACGAGTATTGGATACGGGCATATGTCACTGAATCCAGGCTGTCCTTATTATTAATAATGGACTGGCCGGATTCCCATTCAGCGGACCATCTACGGTACGAACCCTCAGTGGCGGTTGGGATGAGTTCGCGGAATACTCAGTGACCTTTGGAAGACACGTTCACCGTCTGGGACAGGGCGCGGACCGTTAAAGATGCTCATGCGACGGTGCAGACGACGCTTGGCATGCAAGAAGATCCATAACGGATCATTGTTCACTTGATATTTGTATACTTGATTAGGACTTCTTATTAGGAATAGACCCGAAAGGGTAAGCTTAAATACAGAACAGAATTTCCACTCAAGCACACAGAGCGACGTCCGGCTTCAAGGTAAGCGTCAGGTCAAGCTTGTTTGAGTGTGTTATGCCTGTCGGTGAACTCGAAGCTCTGTAGCGAGGGTTCATCCGGCAAGGCCAAGAGACTTTGTGTATTGGCCGATTATTATCGGGAGGTTTTACGTGACGGCTTATTGTTGCCTATTTGCACGACTGGGAGTGCTTGAATTGCCTCCCTTTTATTTCTTCCAGCCGAGTGTTGAACACTCGGTGATCTCGTAAAAGGCGTACCCGTGCCTGGTACCCTTCCGCTGTTGGGACCCCGAGGATTCAAAACACCTGCTAGCTTTGCTCGTGCTAGTAGCGTGTTCTTATTTTACTGGTTGGCCTATATAAGTAGTTTACAAGGTCCAGTTTGTCCCGGTGCAAGGGCAGAACTGGGGTCTTCAGGTCCGCCCGAACGATCGTTTACTATCCTAGTAGACGTATTGTTGTGGGAACATCCTAACTACATCTGTAGCTAGAGTTAACGTGGGATTTCCAACACCACAACTGGTGCCGCGACCCGGGAACAGATTGTGACCATTGTGAACTGTTTGTATGGCCTTCCAGTTTACGAGCTACCAAGAGAAGAAGAACAAGAAAAAGACAAGAAATATGGCGAAAGGACAACCGACGGTACCAGTTACGCCTGCCAAGTGTGGCGGGGCTCGCAACGAGAGTTCAAGCCCGGCTGCGCGCTTTGCAGCCGCCACCGAGCTTTCAGTGAGCTTCGACGACGAAGCGGACATCGGTCCTGACGCCCACGATTATGAAGATTACGAAGACAAGACGCCGGCTCCAGAGCCAGGCGCAGCGACGCCGGAGACGGCCACGCTATCATCGGGGCTGAGCGGGGCGACCAGGTCCCTTTCGAGGAACCTCGCCGAAGAGCTCGATGATGTTACGGGACCAGAACCAGCCTACGATGATTATGACGATTAGACCGAGGGTTCTAAACCTTCGGTGGCAAGTGCAAAGCATTCAGCACTGCTGAAGGCATCTCGCCCACCTATCAACGGTGATACACCAGCCGCCTGGCGCGTTTTCGACCGCGTACAAGCGCTGATGCAGAATAATGAGTGGATGCAGCTGTTCAAGCCCATCCCCAAGAAAAAAGCCGACTGGCCTGCGCTTGCGCAGGAACTTCAATACCCAGTCAACTCGATTTCGACTAGCCAAGTTGCCGAGGATTCAGTTTCGCTACTGTTGTCGCTGGGATTCGAGAACGAGACGTACCCATCGACGATGTCGCTCCAGGATTGGAGTCCACATGAAGCCGGAGCTGCTCTCCAGAAATGGAAGAAGAAGCTTCGGAAGGCGTTTGGCGCTGTTGGCATCAATGCCGGAAAGCAACCTGTGAGTCGACCGATAATTCAAGATGAAGATCCGTCCAAGATTCCATTGCCGCCGACGCCCCAACGACTCGTTCGTACTCCTACGACCAAGCGTGGAGCTGAGCGTGGTGCCTTTGGCACTACCGAAGCTTCACCGTACTTTCAAGACTCGCACATGGTTACGCCACGTTCGGAGAGCCGTATGCAACGTATTTACGCAAGTAACGAGGGTTCGTTCGGTCGCCGAGGCGGTGCGCGAGCTCCCAAAGGTGGTGCCGGACGTCGTCAAGTCGACAGCGATGGTTCGTCCAGTGACGATGACATTTTGGTGCGTACATTCGACGAGGAAGATCCTCAACTCGAGTTGATGCGTCAGATGAATGAGCTAGCGACGCTGAACGACGTGGACCCAACACCGAGGATTGAAATGGCCTCGCACCGACCGCTGGATCGCATCACGCCGTTCTCAGGCTCTCGCAACGAGAGCGAGAACTGTATGCAGTGGCTCCGTGGGTTCGTCTATGAAATGACTGGAACCCACACAGATGCCGATAAATGGTGCATTCCATTTGAGCTAAGTCTCCGGGACGGAGCCATTCATTGGTTCCGTCAACTTCCGAAGAAGACGAAGCGCAAGTGGAAGCTGCTGAGCGACGCGTTCATCCGCTACTACTGCTCGCAGTTCACGCAGACGGCACTGTCGCGCCACTACTCCGCCAACCGGGAACGTAATGAACATCTGTGCGACTACATAAACAG